GCCGCGGCTCCAGGCCTCCCCGGCCGCCCGCCCGCCGCGTCCCGCAGGGGGCGCCCGCCGCGCCCAGCCCTATCCCTGGCCTGCCGCCTCCCGCCGCTAAGCTTGGGGACTCTCGACCCTCTCAATTTCAGAAGCCCCAGCACCCCGCATCAGACCCCACCATTCACACGCACCCTCACCTCGCTTTAAACAATTTCCTCGCTGCCACAAATGCAGAAGGATTTTTATACTTGGACTTGGGCTAGAATAAATTATTCATTTTGTTCATGTGAGTGAAATCTATTATATTTATGTAGAGTCATAAGCATTGAGTTGATCTGCAGCTTTTTGACATAATATTATGTTTCGTAGACATCTCGTTAAACGCTTATTTTAGGTTTGGCAGTTTTCGTTTGGGGTTTCGGAAGCCAATAGAAAATTTCCCCCAGGTCTCAAATATTTCCAGAGGCTCCTGAAATGCCAGCTTCTGGTCATGCCTCCACCTCTGCATCAGGGTGGGGCTCCAGGAGCTCACTCCACTGCTCTGTGTGCAAAGCTTGCCCCCCGCCCACCTCACAGGGTGGGGTGGGGAGCAGCTGTGAAAGGCTGTGCAAACTGTAAAGTGCTGCACCTGCCTGTGTGAAGTGCCAGGAGTCTGAGCCAGGTCCTCCGGAGCAAAGGGTCAGGAGGAGGCTGTTCCTACGTTGTGAAATGCCACAGGATCTCTCTGAGGGCTGCCATGGAGGCAGAGGGGCTCCAAGCTCAGTGGGTACTAGTCTTACCCCACTTCATAGCTACAGCTGCCTGTTGGACACCAAGGGCTTTGGAGGGGCCCGAGGGGCTGGGGAGCAAGGCCTGAGGTCATGGGGCAAGTTGGGGAGTGGGGAGCCTGGGCATCCACACAGCCAGGCTATCTCATCCCCAAAACCTGGGGAGCATCAGAGCCTCACCTCCCAGAAGCTGTCGGTGGTCTCCTCTGGAGCCAGTGAGGCCTCGTCGTAGGAGCCGGACATGGTGTGGTCGTTGGGGGACAGACAGGTGTGGAGCTGTGGTTAGCAGGCTGGGCTGCTCAGGTACTGGCAGGGCAGGAGAGAGATCCCTGGAGATGAGGGAAGCACCCTCACGTCCATTCCAGGCCTGGAGCCCCAACCCACTGGAGGGACAAGGGCTCTATGGGAGGAGACTTGAGCTGGGATGCTGCTGCCTGTCCAGGGACTAGCTTGCCGTCCCTAGGGTAACCCCAAGATTTGCCCTGCAGCACCCTCGTGCCCACCACCCCTTCCCTCCCCCATACCTGCTCCTTCCCCACTCCCCCAAATCCCTCCTCTAACTCCAGTGTGAGCACTTCCTCTCAGAAGCCAGCCCAACCATAGAAGCCACAGGTCTACAGCTGTTTATGTGCTCCTGGACTCCTGGAGTCAAAAGTTAGGGCCACACAACTGTGTATTTGCCGTATATAAATTCCTGGTTTGCTTGTGAGACACAAACATCCCTAGAAGCCAGCGGCCAGGCTCATCTTTGTGCACATCCTGCATGCCCTCCCCAGGGCCTGGCACCCTGTAGGACCCACTGGGGCTCAGTGAGCCCCAGCTGGCTTCTCACCTCCAGGCCCCTCCCAAGAGGGGGCTGCTGGGGTCCTGAGTGGGCACCCTGTTTCTCCTCAGCACTGCCCACCCTCACCCAACTGGATCCTTGCATCAGGCCAAAAGACCCAGGTCCCTCCACCCACTGGCCCCAAATCAATGCAGAGCCCCTAGTCTCAGCCCCTGACACCTACCCCCACCCCAAACTGGAGCCTGGACCCAAGCTCCTGGGGAGGCTGACAGCAGGTCCCCTCCCACATTCAGCCAGGCTCAGCACCTCCTCTGTTCTCTGAGCTGCTGGGTCCCAATAAATGAATGCCTTTTTGGCTGCCCTTGTTTCCAGCCTCAAAAGCCCCCATTAGCCGCTTACAAGTCTCCTGAAAGTCCTGGACATGTGGCTTCCTGGCCAACGGGTCAGGCCACCGCGATCTGTGTGAGCGTCTGGGGTGGCTGTGCCTGCCCTGGATCTGTCGGCAGGCATCACAGTTGTCCAATCTAGGCCATGTGCTGCCCCAGGGCCGGCATGGACACTCCCCTCCTCTCTTCCCCCACCCAGGCCTCACTGCCACCCCAGGCAAGAATGGCTCAGTAGTCAGGAGACAGGACTCAGAGGATGAGGGGCCTGGTCTTCAAAGAGGGAGCAGAGTCGAGGCCAGGCCTGACCCCACTGCATGCTGCCAGCCTCCAGCTAGACCCTGCCTCCAGGGGATGCCTCCCTGCCTCTGCATGGCAGCCTCGGGGACTGCGAACCCTGACCATGAGGGTGCTCAGGGATGGCTGGCTTCTGCAAGATTCAGCCCAAACTGTGGGTCCAGGGCACTCCATCCTTTCCCAGCAGCTGGCGCTCAGGCTAGGGGCACCCATATATCAGGATCCTTGGTTAAGGATTTCACTCTCCCTTGTGGCCTCAGTCTCCTCCTCTGTCCAGAGCCTGTTATTCTTCCCAGTAATAACCTAGTATTCCTCCTTGCGCCCCTCAGGCACCTAAAGATATTTTGTTCCCTCCCTTTCAGCAAAGCCTCAGACACTTGCCCATAAAATCACATACAGTGGGGGTGGGTGAGAGGGCAGGTGGCCAGATTTCATCAAGGGACAAAGAAATGAGTCTTTGAATTTTGCTCTTCTTAATTTAGTGCTTTTCACTCATAAAGAAGTTCTCACTTTATAAGGTACATTTTAAATTTAGATACAGAGCAGTAAAAAGCAGGAATGTTTAATGAAGAACTTTCAGCACAGTTAGGTAAGTATCCCTGGGGCCAGAGCCCCAGCTAGAATCCTTGAAGTCACACAGAACTCCACTCTTTGGAACCCCCCCCCCCCGCATATTGTACAGCTGACAGGGGCTGATGGGGGTGCAGGAGCAGGGTGGAGGGTAGGGACATTCTCTCGTGGGAATGCAGGTGGAACCCTAGCTGTGTCTTTCTCACCCTTGGTGGGAAAGTAACTTGACACAATTACAGAGGTTCAGGCCCTTCACCCAGCAATACCACTTCTAGGGATTTACCTTCCACTTCCTACCACTTGGGCAAACCAACAATGCCCGTTGTTTACTGCAGCAGGGTTTGTAAATGCAAAAGACTAGAAACAATGTGAATGTCCATCCACAGGGGACTAGTTAAGTCCATTGAGGTGCAGGCCTGCTACAGAAGCTCTGGTTCTGAATGGAACCCTTCCCAAGCCACGTCACTAAGTTAAAATGTGCAAGGTGCAGAACAGTGTGGCTGGGGAAAAAACAGAAGCAGGGAATATTTTTGGAAGACTGCAAAAGAAACTGGTTATGGTGATTGCCTTTGGGGAACTGGGTGGCTAGGGGATGGGGTGGGAGGGAGAGTTCTCACTGTAGATACTTTGTGCCCTTTTAATCTTTCCTTGTGTGGATAAGTTACATTTTTTTTTTTTTTTAAAAGATGACTGGTAGGGGATCTTAACCCTTGACTTGGTGTTGTCAGCACCACGGTCACCCAGCGAGCAAACCGGCCATCCCTATATGGGATCCGAACCCGTGGCCTTGGTGTTATCAGCACCGCACTCTCCCCAGTGAGCCACGGGCCGGCCCATAAGTTACATTTTTAAAAAATCAGTAATAATAGCAGCTGGCATATATTGAGCACATACTGTTCACTTGTCTTATCTAATCCTCACAACAACCCTATAAAGCAGGTTCTACTGTCACCCTACATTGTAGATGAGAACCCAGAGGCTCTGGGATATGACTGTAAAAGAGAGTGTCCAGGTGCCACGGGGAAGTAAGCAGGGACAGTAGGACAGGAGCACGTCACGACGTAACCAGTGTGCTATTATTATGTAAGGGTATGACAGTAATGATAATGGCCAACAGGTATGAGGGCTAACTTTGTCCCTCATGTCCCAGATGCTGTGTAAAAGCCCTTCACGTGGGCTAATCAGTATAACAGCCATGTGTGGTAGGAACTATTATTACCCTGTCTTAAAAATGAGGAAACTGAGTCATGGAGCAGTGAAGGAACCTGCCAAAGGTTGCCCAGTATGATGCTTAATTTTAGGTGTCAGCTTGACTGGATTAAGGAATACCCAGGTAGATGGTAAAGCATTACTGCTGGGTGTGTCTGTGAGGGTGTTTCTGGAAGAGACTGGCATTTGAAGCAGTGGACTGAGGAAGGAAGATCTGCCCTCACCCAGTGCTGGTGGCGCCATCTGATCAGCTGAGGCCTGGGTAGAACAAACAGGCAGAGGAAAGGAGAAACCACTGTCTCTTCTGGAGCTGGGACACCCTTCTGCTCCTGCCTTTGGACACTGGACTCCAGGTTCTCTGGCCTTGGACTCTGGGACTCCCACCAGTGCCCCCATGTTCTCAAGCCTTCAGTCTCGGACTGAGACTCACGCCAGTGGCTCCCCTCATTCTGCAGCTTTCGGACTTGGACTGAGCCACACTGCTGGCTTCCCTGGGTCTCCAGCTTGCAGACGGCTATTGTGGGACTTCTCAGTCTCCATAATCACATGAGCCAATTCCCCTAATAAAGCCCCTTTCATATATCTCTCTGTATACATATATCCTATCGGTTCTGTCTCTCTGGAGGACCCTGATTAATACATCCAGCTTGGGAAAGGTGCGACGGGGATTTGATCCAGAGCACACCCTCCTCACCGGTACATGATTATTATATGAAGTAGTGTTGACATTAACATTGGCTACCAGTAGCTAGCATTTATTGAGTGCCTACTGTGTCCACGGTACTGTTCTAAATGTTCTATGTGTGTTTCATCTTCATTTAAAGATGGGGAAACTGAGGCACAGAGCAATTAAAATAGCACACCCAGGGCCTCCGAGATGGTAAATGGTAGAGCTGGAATTCAGTCCTCATTCCAGCCACAGCCCCTGCTGCACCAGCCCCTTCTAAGCATCATCCTCAGGACCCCTGTGGGAAGTAAGGAGAAAGCAAGGCACAGGAAGAATGAGGGAGAGAAGAGCAAGGGACAGAGCTACTGTTTACTAAGTGACAGTGTTCCATTCATTTTCACAACAATCCTCAGAGGGAGGGACTGGCTTCCTCTTTTTATTCATGAGGACACCAAGGCTCAGAGAGGTAAGCCAAGGTCACACAACTAAAGGGTGGCAGAGTTAGGACTTGACCTTGGGGTGTGTGCAGCACAGAGTAGGATTATGACACAGACTCTGGAGCCAAGGACAGGCTCAGCTTAACCCTGGGCTGGGCCTCAGGGAAACCAGATCTGCCTCCCTTCCCCCAGTTCTCTGGTCCCACAAATATTCCCAGCATCCCCATGCCCCCCACCTCACCCAGAGATGGCCAGACAGGCTCAATGCACTTGACTTGGGGCCACACAAGGACTCTGACAGCCTCTGCTGGGCCTTCAAATGCAGCAAGAAGGTCTTGGGTTAGCTGTGAGGTCCTGTCCCTCCATGCCTAACCTGTACCCCTTGTCCATTTGAGCCTCTGCCCCTTTGCTCACGCCTTCCCCCTGCCCGGGCCGCCTGCTGTCCTCCTCCCATCACTCCCCTCTC